CATAGGACATTAACCCTGCTTTTTGGCCTAGGTTTTTTTTTTTTTATTTTCCTTGATGACAACCTCATTGTTCCATGGGTTTGAATTAAACTAAGCTCTGCTCATTCTCCTCTGGTGAAATCCGCAAATATTGTTGACCAGGATATCCATGGGCACTTCACAGAATCCCAGAATGGGTAAGGTTGGAAAGGACCTCAGTTGGTCACCTGGTCCAACCCCCCTGCTCCAGCAGGGTCACCTAGAGCAAACTGCACTGGGTTATGCCCAGACAGTATCCAGATTTGGTAGGCACATAGGAGAATGCTGTTTTTTTAAACTAGGACAACTATTGCCATCTCTTTATTTCATAAAAATGGCTTCAAAATTAATTTAATATTTACAGTCACCTTAAACTTCACTTAGAGAGAAGAGAGATGAAAATAGGAAGCTGCACTGAAACAAGCAAGTAACTCTTCAGCTCTTCATCAGCAGCACCCTCCTGCCAACAGCACTATCAGAGCGAGAATATCCTCACTAGCTGGAGTCACTTGCTGGCCAGATGCTGCTGCAGCTGCAGTAAGCTCTTTCTTATGTCGAACTTCAGCTCCACTGTAACTGAGGGCTGAGTCTGTACCCACAGCTAATACCTTTTTTTAACAATGTGGCAAGTCATTCAGATCAAGGTGTTTCACACTCTGAAAGATTTTGCTGGTTTATCTGAGGAAAGGTGATCTGATTGGCCTCCAGCAATCTTTTCTGGGACGGTGAGTTTGCACTGGGATCTGCTTTGTACAGGAGTTTTCAGTCCTGGACAAAGCAGAACTCAGTTCCAATGGTTCAAATCCAAGGAATTAGTTCAAAAGCAGAGCATTTTTGTCCATTAGTATTTATGAAGACAGAAACACATGATGGCTTCCATTTGCTGCTTCAACCTTCTTGAAGGTTGACAGGGGGAACATAATGGACTTGCACAGATTATTTTGTTAGGAACACACAACAAGGGTTCTGTAATTAGCACTGTCCTTTGAAATGTGTGGCGTTGCTTTTGATCACTTAAATATCAAAATGGGCAAGTTGAGAACAGGAACACACAGAAGATTACCTTAATCAATTACCTGTACCTTGTGGAATTTTAGCAGAGATGAATATGATACTGCATATTTATGTCATAATAGCAAGTTTGATACTCTCAGGATGTGCCAAAATAATTCTCTGACTGATTCAACATGAAAGTCTTCCCAGATTAAAAGTTGCCCTCATTTCAAGGAAGAAAAAAAGACAAATGGACTAGTGCTGCTATTGATGGAAATTATGTCTGATAATGATGGGAAAGCTGGAATGCAAATTGAGAAGCTGTCAAGTCACGTGCAGTACCACTCAGTAACCTCACTGTCACTGCACTACAAAAGGGAAAAGAACATCTGCAGTTTAGTGCCTTATGAGCAAACACTGCAGTACCAGCATTACCTAAACAAACCACATTTTTGCTAATGATGCCATCTGCAAATGAGCTCATGTCATTCCCTGTTCAAACTTTCAGATGCAGCTCAAACATACCTACAAAAAGCAAAAATTGTAATCTGGTGTAAAAAACCCCTACCACTAAAGTAAGTCTAATAATCCATAAACTGTGTACACCATCTGTTCAGTTTTACTATGTGAGTTCTGATAACTGTCAATATTATTTTCAGGTCAAAAGAATGGAAAAACAAAAAACCACAGTATTTTCAATTCAATATTAGTAGCACAGCCCTCAGTTGAACCTCACTGCTCTTACAGAAACCCAACTCTACATGTAAGCAAGACAAGAAAATACAGTCCTGCAGTCTCCTAAGATTGTTTGGTAATTCTTCTACTTCTGTAGAAGATTAGGTATGACTTTGGAAAAAAGTTCTCCCTAAGTGGTCAGTCTCAAATAGTCAGTATACTTTTATCCCAAGAGTCTGCTTTTCAGGAAGTTAAAACTTCCTCACTGGGTCAATTTTCACATCTCCCTTGACTTCACTGAAGCTTCTGCAATCTGAAGCAGCTCATGATCAGCTTCCTCCAAAGGCAGGCATGAAGAGTTCAAGCCAAAAATCAAGTCCTGATCATGAAAGGTGAACACAGCTCCAAAAGGTTCCTTCACGTGCCAAATCTTCTGTCCACTTGGATGTTAAAACATTTACTTGAACATTTCAATATTTCAGAACACGATTTCTGATACTTCCTTCCTTTCTCTACTGTGCTAACTGTACTGCTCATTCTTGACATGCAGGAGAGGGTTTTTTGTGTTTTGAGTTTGGTTTGATTTTTTTAAAATTGTAAAACACATGTCCACATTGTGAGAAAATTTACTGGAATGTGAAACCATTTTTCTTTTGGTTTATTAAGAGCAAACGGACGAAGTGCCATATTCCATATGGCAGTGCAGACTAAGAACTTTATAACTTCAGAAGATCTAAAATATTAAAATGTTTTGAAAATCTCAGACTTGCAGCAGTGTCACTTCTGTAATCTTGTTGGAAAACGTGCCATTAAAAGCATGAATTTCAAGCATAGATATTCAAGGAGTGTAACTCCTTAGTACAGTAGGAATAATTGGTCTAACATTATCATCTCTGTAATAATCTTGTCTCTGGCTGCAATTCCATACAACCTGAAATTTGAGGCAAAACAGCAAGGCGTGCAGTTCCTTTCTATTCTTCATGCTCTGGATTTTGCAGATAAATACAGATCCAGCACAAAACCTATCAGTGCTGCCTCATGTAAGTTAAGATGATACAACAGCTGGTTAAAATCACTACTATCAAGAAATGGTGTAGGGATCAAGAGGAACCACAACCAGCCCAGAAACCAAACCACATCAGAAAGAAAGGCAGGTCTCCTTTTCTCCTCTACTCAGGAAACAAGAATTACCCTCTGTGGATATAATAAACCAGGGATGTAAAAAATTCTGAAACCTCTATTTCCCTCTCCTGTGCCTTTTGCCCTGTGAGGTCCAAATTTTCCCCTTTGTGCACAGATGCCTCCACCATTTTGCAACATGAGGTCCTTCCACAACCAGTGTTCCTAATTTCTGTGAGACCTTTTGAAAGAGTCAGCTTCAAGCAACATGACCTCAGCTTCCATTACCTAGGAATCTGCTGCCACTAAAATTATTTGCAGCTTCTTTTTCCCATTTTTCTAAAACTCTGCATGATTCCTAAAGCCCCTCCATGCTCCACACAGTCCCAGAACATTTGATGTGTCCTTAGGTGTGCAGACCATCGGTTGCTTGGTTTATGCATGCACAAGCTTTTAAAGAGTAATATTTGCCAAGCATTAGCCTAAAGGCAGGATACTCCTCAGGTGTCACAGAACAGAAAAATCAGAAGATCATAGTGTAGTAAATGCCAGTGAATATTCCTAGTGTGTGGGAAGAATGCATAATCTTCAGAAAAAGGAGCTACTTAACTAACTTAAAACTGTAACTGCTTGTCTGTCCTCATCTGAAAAGGTCAATTAACCCTCAGAAAAGATTAAATGGATAAAAGGAGTTGAATCTACAGTGAAAACAATATGTGTAAGGGAAGCAAAACACTGAATTCTTACCTTTATGGGGATTCCAAATTCAGACAAAAGACAATCTGAACAGTCAAGGCCTCTCAAAACAAATGCCTGCTATAAACAAAGCTCTCTGTTTTCTTTATGCTTCTGAAAAAAATTACCAATCTTTGGACATTCATTTTGTAAACTACAATGGTTTATATTAAAGAGGAAGCTCTTATCTCCTCAACAGCATTACAGATGTAATATTCTTGAAAGAAGAAAATGTATTAATCATGTAGGCAAGAAATCAATGTGCAGTACTCAATACAGCTTCCTGACTTACACCTCATTTGTTTCCAACCATTGCATTTCCAAGCAGAGCTGGGGAAAAAAAAAAAAAAAAAGGAACTTCAGAAAAGACCTCAATTGAAAACTATTTTTAAAATAATATAATTAAAAGGATGTAGCAAATTCACAGAAGTGTTTGTGCTTTAGCACAGGAAAATGTGATATAACTCATCAATCATAAATAAAGCCTTAAATTACATAGGTATGTATGGTCTTGAAACAGTGGAATTAAAACAAACCCCTTCCTCCAAATAGACACACCTCTCATAGACAGAATTGCTCAGTCTATTTGAAATAATCTACTTAAGAATTCTTGAGAGATGCATAGCAAAATACTTTTCCGTCCCCCCCACAGTCAGGCAATAACACAAGATATTGCTGAACTGATTCAGAAAGGTTTCATGTTAAGATCATCACAATTACCACATATGATCATGGTGCTCTTCCAAATGTGGTTTTAACAGCAAGTAGACTGTGAATAATTCAATAAATTATAAGTTTTTGGTACTTCTTTCTTCTCTTCTAGATAACAGAAAGCATTATTCTTGCAAATCAACACTAAATTTCAACCACTAATAACAAACCCAGTTTCTTTTGCAGATTAATAGATTTGCTACATTTGGTGCATCAGTTTCAACGATGTTACAAATGTCAAGTTAACTGAAGGTAGAAAGAATTAATCCTGATACTTTTACCAGCTCCAGTCAGCGACACAAAATGGCAACAAGGTCTCCATCCTACAACCTTAACATCCCGGGGGCTTCTGGTGCACTTTCAAGACTAAACCTGAGGACACGCAGCTGCCATCAAAGCCAAACAACTCTCAGTTCTTTTCCATGAACAAATTTAAATTCTCTATCACCACGGTTAAGGGAGAAGCTACCACTGATTCTGTTCAGCACTGAGAGAACCCAGAAGACTCAGAGGAGGCAGAAAACCAACTCACTGCATTGCATCCACTTTGTAAAAAGCTTTCATCCACTTTTCTACCCAGAACAGCCACAAATAAGTTCAATCACATAGAAAAGTCTGCCTGGACTTCATGGTGCCATTTTCTTGATTAAACACTACTAAATAGAGGAATAATTTGTCAGAGTCAGTGTAAACCAGCACGTTTTTACTCAGCTGTGAAAGGGAAACCAGCACTTAATAAATTAGAGCACTAGAAGAAAACATGACAATTTTGTTATTAATAACTTTTATAGTTCAAATTTAAAAATATTAAGCCAGAAACAATTCAAGATTCATGAAGAAAAATCTGGAACTATATACATGCATAATTAAGAATATCTAGATTCTTGTCAATATTTACTTTAGCTTTTTGTACAAGTTTTTTCACACAATCGTATTTACAAGCATGTCTGTTTAAAACATATGAACATACATGTCTTATAGCATTTACAAATCTTTTGAATATATTTTTTTTCTTAAAAACAAAAGAATATTTCCTTAATTTGACAGATTTGGTTTCATCTCATGGTAAAGAGTTACCATTATTCAAATATCTAAATAACAGTCATCCTACTGGTACCCAGAATTATCACATATGGCTTTAAATACCTCCCAAACTCAAAGGATCACCTCACAAGTACAAACTACAGTCCACCCGTGGTACATTTCTAATTAAAGTCTTGAACCTTTGTTTGAGTTAGAACCACAACTTTGCAGACACTTCCTAAGCATGTACTCAGAAATAAGAGGCTCTTTTAATTCAAAGAAAAAACAATTTTGCTTCCAGTCAAGTCAACCACATATGAAGTGTGTACAAAATGGGATGTATGGGCTTTTCTAGACATTCTAGCTACCTTTATGGATTTTTATTATCATGGGATACCACAGCTTTGAACAAACGATATTTGTGAGGATTGACAGGAATCAAGTGAGAGATCTTCTAAGAAGGGGGAGAATACTTTTTCCTCAAAATATGACCATTTTTTAGAAAAAAAAAAAGGCTGAGGTGGTTTTGCTCATAATGTCTAAGTTACTCATACAATCCAACCAGTTAGATCACTTCACAAACTAAATGAAAATCCATCAGCTTGATTGCTTTTGTTTGGGAAAAAAACAACAAAAAAACCAACAAAAAACCCAAAACTTTTTTACAAATCAAGTAGCCGTCTCCTTTGAACAGTATTCTCTAGAGTTCCTGCACTGATTGTTCCACAGTTTGTTCCTCCACAGGCTGTACAGCTTCCTGAACATAAACAATGAATTCAGAAGCCTCTCCACCTTGTGTATAGACAGTCACTGTCTCAATCCCCTCCACTTCATCTGATGAGACCACCAGGTGATGCTGCTCAGACAGCTCCACTGACGCCTGCTGCAGTGTCTCTTGAATCATCAAGGTGTGATTGGCTGATTGCTCCTCTTCTTTTACCTAAGGAGAAATTGGAGAGGTTACAGAAATTTCACCTTTCCAGTAAGTACTAGGTATTGTGATGATTAACGCAAATACAGCACACGACTTAGCAATCACACAGTTTTGAAATAAAATGTCAGTTTTACAGAAAGTGATCACTTTTGATGAATGACTGTATAGCAAGGCAGAATAATGAAAGCAGTAATACAGCATCTAAGTTAAGTGCACAGAGAGCTGCAGAGTTCCAGGAGCATCGGTCTTTAATCTCTCAGCAGCCGTTCATTCAAAACTGCTCCTATTTAAATAAATCTGGAGTAAAACAACTCCTCTATTAGCACTGAGATGAGAATCCATACAAAACCACATGAAAAAACTGCACCCATTTCTTTTTTTCCCTAGGTCAACCAGGTCTCATAGAAGTACAAACTTCATTGCAAACCTTAACGGACTTTTATTGGAAAACTGTGAAACGTAAATATTACTGAAATAGATTCCTAAGGCCTACTGTTTGTGAGGCAGCAATATGTACAGTATTGAAAGGAGAGTGACAGAAGCAATTGAAAATAACAGAATTTTTACTGAACATTTTGCTTCTTGTCAAAATGAAAAAAAGCAACATCATTCAGTGTGGGATTTCAACGAGTTCATACAGCTGCCTGTCAAGTATTGAAATACAGTATGTACCAGAATTCAAGAACAAATCTTAATTCTCTACCAGATCCATGTAAAATTTTCAAGGAAAGTATCCAGGGGAGGATAAAAATACCAGAAAACTGTAAGTCTTGTGGAGGAAATGCATTCTCTCGAGTGTTAGTGGTAAAATAATCTCTTCTTGAGGAGAGAATGGAACATCAATTCTTCAGTATGCAAAGGCATTTGTTAGTGGAAGGTGTCCCTGCCAATGGTAGGAAGGTTGGAATGAGTCGATCTTTAAGGTCCCTTCCATCCCAAACCATTCTGGGATTCTTTGATTCAGTTCACTGGACCACAGTGTGGTCCTGCAGCACTGACCACACAAGTGACCTTAAAAAGAACAGGTCAAACATGGTAGATTCTACAAAGTGTGGAATCTAAATTATGCAAATTAGAAAAGGTGAATTTTTTTTACTTAGAAGGTGACTCAAAAGTAAACAGTAGTAGTAGAACAATTAAGTTCAAAAAAATATAATTAGGATTAATGTTGTTTAAGAGTACAGTGGGAACAGAAGGGAAGAACTACAACATGGATTCCAAGGATCAGTTTGATCCCTCAGAGGGCAGCAAGGAGAAAAAGCAGTTTTATATGTTTCCCCAGTGCTCTTTGCTCATTCATTTTTTTCCTAGAGTACCCAATCCTTTTGTTATACAGTGACTTTGCTTTTAACTTTTTTTATTTCGTGTTTAAAATATCTGTCAGTTGAAGAAGATTTCAGAGACACACAAACCCCTCAGGACTTCATATCACTTTGAACCCTCACTCAATTCATCAGGCTATAGAAAGGTTTTTCCTGAACAATAATGAGCATGTTCAGGTTTTAAATTATTCAGAGGTCCCCAAGTCAGTATGGCTGTAATATATTGATGAAATATATGTGGATATTATCTGGTGAAAGATTTAACATCTTAAGGGAATCTGGCCATTGTCATCGACCTTAATGCAACAGCACAATCGTACCTACTGACGCTGACTCTGGCTTTGTTGCACAGGATTCAGATTATAGGGATAAAAATATAGGAATGGGATAAAGTCTTTTTCACATTCTGTTTCTTTTACCAAGCATATCTGAACATTTTATCTGAAAGTTACTTTAAACAGCTTCTGCTGAAGTTCAAGCTTAACAACCTACACAAGTGGGTGACGCTTCCCTTGACATAACAGAATTTGCAACCAACCCTCAGAAAACCAATTTATGTTGTCGCAAAATATGGGTATCATAGAATCAAAGAGTCACCTAATCACAGAATGGTTTGGATTGGAAGGGAACTTAAACATCATTTAGTTCCAACCCCTCTGCCATGGGCATCTTCCAACCCATCCAGACTGGTCTTGAACATTCCCAGGGAATGGGGCATCCACAACTTCTCTGGGCAACCTGTTCCAGTGCCTCACTACCCTCAGAGGATTTATTCCTGACACCTAATCTAAATCTCTCCTCTTTCAGTTTAAAAGTGTTCCCCCTTGTCCTATCACTATCTGTCCCTGTCAGATTTCGCCCCTTTCACCAACATACCCCTTACGAATGGAAGCTTGAGCCTCTCCTCAAAAAGCAAAATCATGAAAAAACCCCACAGCATATAAACTTTCTTCCCTTGTTCCTCCTAATGCACCCCTTTTTTTTTTTTCTTAATTACTAAAGAAACCCTAAGTCCTACCTAAAGCAATAGAGCTTTGGTGAATTCATACACCATACTCTCTTTTCCTGACTGTTCTCCCCTCCTTCCTGAGGTTACGGGCTCATGTCAGCTCCTGTGTGAAAGTTAGGACATGCACAAGATCTGCTAATGAAGATTGCAATGGGCAGAGAAAAGTCTAATCATTAGTGAATTCAGATAGGAAGCTGCAGTCAAAAACGTTAGATAATTAGGGTCTCACAGCTTGTTATGAATCAGCTCACAATTACAGCCCTTGATTTTAGAGATGCTCAAACAAATACAGGAATAGGGGTGTCTAAAATGTGGCCCTTTAATTATGTAATATACACTATCTTCTCTTGTTTTAGTGCACTTCACATAAACCTCTAACAACATGCCTCAGGCCAGAAAAATTACACTGCATTTGCCAAGAGCTGTGAGAATGCACAACACAATATGAGATGGATTTCACCATAGTCACTCTAAATCAAAACCCATAAATAATTGTAAATATAGTTTTGTGAATGTACATAAATAATGAAGAAAGGAAAATAAATAAAACAAAGTTGACAAGAAAATGAAATGAAACCAGAAACTCATTCAATACAATGGCAGCAATCTAATACTTACTCAGTTTTATATGCTTTTGAAATGAAAATGGCCAATAAAGAAAGTTAATTTAACCTCCCTACCTGACTTTATCCATGTGGGTTTATTACCCTTGTCATGCAGGGTAAAGAAGACTAATGCCCTTATTTCTGGTGCTTCTAGCCTCCAGTATCCTTTTTGGACAGCTATCTGTAATCCTTTTAGTTTGACAAATCACCACATTATTTGGGATATTCACATTTCAAATCAGTTCAATGTTTACATGCTTCTGTTTGGTTCCTATTAGATTGTTCCACAGGGAATAATCTCAAAATGTTAATCTACATCCCTCAAATTGATGAAACAGTGGGACAGCTGCCATCAGAATGAATGAAGTCACTACACTCAGTTCTTTTTATTGGCATCTGAAATCTTTTGAAGAGTGGCATCCAAGACCTCTTCGCTGTTTGAGAGCCAGCTGAAAAGCATCTGTCTGCTTATCCTTCATTAAAGAATGAGGGCAAGGAGCTGAAGCCACACACAGCTGGCATATTAAATCAAGTCAGTACCTGCATAAATATTCTTTATTAACTTAATCTGTCTCCACAAAAGCCAATGGGGCTTTTATCACCGTGTTTTCATGAGAAGCTCAACGTTCCTAAATTCCAAATGTTTTAATTTACATATCCGAGGACCATCCAAATGCATGTAAGTAGTCATTAAAAATGAGTCTCTCTTAGAGCAATCTCTTCCTCTCAAAGCAAGAAGGCCTTTTTTTATTTTGAAATAAATTAATTCAAGCCATTAAGGAAAATACACCTCTTCCCTTTTCTGAAAAGTAGGAAAGAAAATATTTGCAGTAAGATGCTAAAGCCCTTTCCTTATTTTAGAGCTCATCCTGTGAAATAATGTAGTATCTTTGATTTTATTTGAAGTCAGCAGGAGTTGCAGATCTGTAGTGTTTAACACAGTGTTGCTGGGCCCGTCCCCAAATCCTCTGTGGAATCTCTCCCTTGATTTCAGATTCAATGCTGCGTCTCAGTTTACCACAAGAAAAAAAATTTAATCACAGGCATTTTTCAGATTTTCAAAACCTTACACTAGGTTACAGATGCTCCTATTTATATCATAAAACACCAGTAAGAAAATATACAGAATACCTACTAAAAGGATTAAAATGAAAGGTGAATTATAAGCATTTCAGATCACAGAGAGCACCTGGATATGTGACGTGCCAGATGACATCAGTGCCTACAAGTACTGTTCAGTATTGTTTGAATAATCTGAACTCTCTCAGTTCTAGTTTACATATAGTTATATTGTGTGAAAAAGACACACAGAAAACACTGCAATTTGATCATATGAATCTCTATAATGAGCTACAAAACAATCTGGCGCACAATGGTTTCAGAATAATAAGAGACTTGAGTATGAAAGACTTGCTTTGCATAAAATAAAAACTGCAAGGCATCAAACAAACCTTGATACAGCTGGTGCAGATTTTGAAAAAGTTTTAGTAATTGGCTGCTTGAATATATTCTGACAGAGAGACACAATGACCTCAAAACATTGACATAGTTTTAAGAGCTCTAACAGGACAATGATCTTGACATGAGATTTTATCTGTATGTTACAGAGATGTTGAGAACTCCAAAAAGGCTGAGGAAAAAGGGCCATCTGCCCCAGTTAACGCTTTCCTTTGCTGGTGCCATCACGGGAAGCATCAAATTGCTCCATGTTCTAAAGCAACTCCAAACTTGACATTCAACATATATAAAACTCCACATCCTGGCATCCACCATCCTGCAGGTACCAATCCCAGCCAGACTGAAATACAGGGTGTGTTGCTGAAGCACAATGTGACGTGACAGTCATGCTGATATTAGATATTTACTTTAGAAGATGTGTTACACTACAAAACTCTGCTCTGTGATCTGCTTTGAGCTGATGTGTAATCGTTGCTGTGTACTCCTACTGCTGTCACTTTGAAGAAAGTGACTTAGCATGGCAGGATTTTAATGGAGCCTGAAGAGATCACAGAATAAAAGGATGAAAGGAACTAAAATAAAGGGTGAAATGCACGGAAATCCAGTGTTTCC